GCCGTAGGCGAGCACCACCACTATCATTGCGTGGCGACCGTATCGTGGGAGCGTGTTGCTGTCTCGCTGCGCGATTCGTTCGATGTCTGCTCGGGAGTAGTGCCAGTGACCTTGATCTCTGTCACGCCCGTCTTCTTGAGTCTGCCGCCGATGTCTCTTGTTGATCTGCTCATTCTATATATTAACATTGAGATGTTAATTTATATCACTTTGAACCTATTTGTTGGCCATCAACTGCTTGTGGATGTAGCCTTGCTTGTGTCGATTGAGATTGGTGCGACCGACCTCGAAGCCGCACTCGCATCTTACCTTTTGTTTGATGTATGCTTTGTGGCGCTCTCTGAACTCCGAGTTGTCGTCCCAATAGTACTCTTTAAATAATGACATGTTATATCTGTTAGAGATAAATTGTTTAATTTAATTTATTTGTTTATGAGTTTCCAAAAAGGGACAGGCAGATCATCTTCACCACACACACCCATAGCACGACTACAACAAGGCGCAAGTTGATGCTCGCTCATTCATTATTCACACAACAACTACTACAAGTGCACTTCAACAAATAACAACAACAACTACAATTACTACCTCATCCTCATCCTTCATATAGCGCCTTTCCATGAATATCAACGATTACAAGAGCTGGTCCAAAGATGAACTTCTCCAATGGTTCACTGAGCAAACCAAAGAGGACGTAAAGGTGCAAGCGAAGATACTCCATCAGCAAGACATCAAAGGAGCTGATCTTCCTCTCACCAGCGCCAACTTGAAGGAGGTTGGCTTTACGCTTGGTCAAGCCAATGCTGTACTCCGAGTTCTTGAGCAACTTCCCCTGGCCCAAGCTCGTAAGTACAAACAACATCGGCGCAATGTCTTCATTCAATACTAACATACACACTCAAGCCGGTGCTGCAGGAGGAGGTGGTGGCCAAACGCGTAAGTACAAATAAGAGCGAGTGATGTGTTCAATCGATACTGACATCAAATTTTTGATCTCCTTCCCAGTCCTGCAAGATCCACGACAATGGATTTTGGACAATGGCCAACAGATTGCGCCCTACAATGACATGGACAACGTTGGACGGTCTTTCCCATTTCTCGGCAGAGAGACCACCCTTTTAAAGATGAAAGAGACCATCACCGTGCATTGGTCCTCCGACACATCACCAGAGAGTAGAGTCAATCACTCGATCAATCTCAGCATTGGTGCACCGGGAATCGGCAAGTCAAGATTGCTCAGAGAGTTTGGCCAACTATTGCATCCAACAATGGTCGCCCACTTCGCTTTAAGTGCGAAACCCTATCCATCAAGGCACTGTAGCATCGTCACTTCATATGGCAATGGATCGCCAATCCAACCAATCGAACAAAGCATGGATTTGGAGACCTGCTTTGCCATTCGTGTGCTCTGCTCCTTCTTCCAAGTTACATTTCCATCTATCATATCAGTGTGGCCCAAAGGAACCACTCTCACTCTGCTTACCGCCTTCAACATTATTGAGCAGACTGTTGCCCAAGGAGCTGGCCCATTGGTCATCTATCTTGGCATTGACGAGATCCAAAACCTTCTTGTCGAGGGGTCAGACTCGAGATCATCCAGACATCTCATCACATCTTTGACAAACGTAATTGGAGGCCAACTCAACACATCACCCGACAGGATCTTCCTTGTATGCTGCATAGCTGGAACCATCTACTCTCCAATCGAAGATGTGTTTGCAAAGTCATCATATCCCTCCTCCATCATCCCACTTCCCCTCCTCTCATTGGACCACTGCAAGGACATCATCAAATCGACCCCACAACTCAAGGACCTGCCAGTGGACAATCACGACCTAGACATCTCGATCTGGCGAATAGGAGGATGGCCACGACCCTTTGAGTTCTTTGTGCAGCGCATTATCATGATGCTGTCGGACCAGATCCCTATATCCCTTCCCGACATCCTCCATCACACCAGGGACAAGCTCTATGATATCTACAAGTTCCAATCTCAAGAAACAATACTTCAGTTGATGGCATATTGCATTGCTGGCATCAACTTCTCGTCGAAGGAGTGGTCAACAATTGGACCGATACCAGGAACAACGTTTGAGCACTTTGAAGAGCGTGGATACATCACCAAGGTCCAAGTCAGTGGATCGAAGCCACCCAGATACTGCCCAATGATGCCACTGATGTTCGTTGATTGGTCCTCCAACTACACCAACTCAAGAGAGTTCTTGTCATTGAAACATCTACTGGACTCCATCACTGAAGACAAGAACTGGATGCACTGGGAAGGATTCTGTTCGCACTACACTCTGGTTCGCTCTCAGATGCTGACCTACATTGGATCAAGCCAAGTTAGTTTGGACGAGTGGTTTGGCCATCCATTTTGCAAGAATGACCATTTCGCCTCCAAGAGTATCCTGATCACCAAAGGTATATTGTAAAGCCATGGCTTACTCATCGCCACAAGTCACTAACATGTCCCACTTTAACTCCAGGCGAGTACGTGGAGCTTGCCAATCGATTCCCCAATGCAACATATCACGACACCTTTGATAAGCATAGATGTTTCGAATATCCACCATCACACTCGAATGTCTATCTGAACGCTCCCGGTGCTCCTTGGGATTGGTTCTCGTTCTACGCCTCGACAACCAAAGGCCTTGTGTACCTACTGTACAATGGGAAGCACACCATCAAGCGAGGTACGGCACTCAATCTTCAGATGATCGTTGAGGAGCACGAGAAGACATCAGAGGTAGTCAAAGACAATGACACACAGTTCAGTGAGCATCGTTTGGTTGTGACAGCCATTGTCACCAACTGCAAGCGAGCACCAACTATCACCAGAGACAGCTTGCCCCCTCTGACAGTTCTGGTAGATGAAGCCAACTGCGAATCATTCTTTGGCCCAGTCTTCTCCTACATCATCTCCAACTTCTAGTTTCCGTTATCCACTCCAACCTTTCATAAACAACCACACTCGGTGAACTCTTGGTGAACAGGTGGTGAAAACTTGGTGAACAATCGGTGAACAGTGTGTGAAATTTCGGAAGTACGTGCTGACCTGCGTGATGGGTGTGCGTTCTGATCTATTCTTGGGCGTGCGAAGGACAAACTCAAACGACACTCTCCTGGAATCTCGAATAGAATAATAGAGAGGATTTGTAAAACTATTCTAAAATATTTGTATTATTATTTATTGTTAAAAAAATAATAATTTTAGTCATTCTATTCTATTATTCTATTCATCCTCTTTTAACCAGTAGAATAATAGAGAGATATTTTAAAACTATTCAACTTTTTAGTATTATTAATTATTGTTAAAAAAAATTAATTTTAGTAATTCTATTCTATTATTCTATTCATCCTCTTTTGAAGTATATAAAACTAWAGGAGGAGAAATTGGAAGTTTGAAATGAAGGAGCGCCAGCTCCGGAATGTTGCGAAGCCAGCGGCGATGAGTTATCCACACACCCTTTGAGTCATTCCTGGACYTTTTCTTTCAAGGTGTTCTCAGATGGAGCTGGCAAGTTGTCAATGTGGTACTGGACAACTTCATTATCAAGTCATTGTTCGTGGAATTGTTGGTGACACCATTCGCAACATTGGCCTACCAATCACATGCCCAGGCTTTGGTGCCATCCACTCAAAGAAGGAATCTTCTCCAAATCATTAGAAACAATTGGAGACAAGGTGGAATCAGGGCCTTCTATCGTGGATGGGTACCAACAGCACTCCAAGCAGGCGTGATCCATATCTATCAATCAATGTCCAACTCCTTATAATACATTATCCAATCTTCATTGATCAATAATCATATATATATTTTTATTATTATTATTATTCGAATAAGTGTGGTGTCAGATTATTAAAGGAGACAGTTGGCTTGATTGGAATGATTCCACCTGTTAATTTGCTAGTTATTATGATGAAGTGCATTCTATCACCAAGCGATCTAAGTTGGATATTTCTAAGTACTTTTGAGGAATGTAGTTCAGAGAATGAGATGGTGAATGTCTTTAAGCTGTCCATTGGATACCGACCTGACTTGATCACTGTATAAAGGTAGTCACGATAATAGTCCTTCTCCAGCTTCAAATTACAATTTCCGACCAAATGGAAATGCTTGATTGATCGTGGCAGCGGATATCCTGTGGGCTTTCGATATCCTTTCATCATGGTGAGCTCAGTGATTGAATTGGGAAGTTTGGAATGTATAAGGCAGTCGTGTATCTGGAGATTGGTTACCGATGGGGGAATAGTTCCATCACACATTGGTCGATAAAAGGAGATCCAAAGAGAGAGAGAGGTGAGCCCAGCTGGGAGAGAGCCTTGTGAGAACGCTTGATTGTAATAACGATCCAATTCCAAGGTCCTGAGTGATAAAGGTAGAGCCCCTACGACGAATGGATGATTATACATGCCAGGGCCGTCTTTGTCCTGATATACGGAAACACCAAACTTGAGGTAGGTCAGAGTGGATGGAAGGGTTCCGATGGCAATCGGTTGATTGAAGTATGGGCCAAACGTGAGTGAATTAAGCCCTAGTGGCAACGAGCCCACTGGGATAGGCTGATTGAAGTAGTAGCCAATGAACAGAGACCTGAGCCCCAACGGAAACGTCCCGATTGGGATGATGTAGCCAAGGTCGGGGCCAAAATGGAGCTTGAAAAGACGAGATGGAAGTGAGTCGAATGGTAATGGATGACAGCTGGGGGAGGACAACTTGAGCCTGGTGAGACTCTGCGGTAGTGTACCGGGAAGAATGGGTTGTCGGAAACTTGGGCCAAACTCAAGTGATTGAACACCATCTGGAATCATTCCTTTAGTTGGCGAAATGTCAATGTCGTAGATCAATGTATTCAGGTCATTGGGTATTATAATAGTCGGGTCATTGAGAATGAACTTTCGAGGTGCAAACAACTTGTTGATGATGATGTTGTTGTCATTGTTATTGAGATAATTGTAGCCAACCTCTATGTGCTCTGGTACTTTTCTGTCTGGCATCCATAACCAACGAATGAATGAATGTTTGTTTCGATACCAATACTTACAAACGAATGCCAAACAATACCTATCTACATTCTCCTCCAAACAATCTACAATATAACCTAGGATGATAATTGGGAAGTATCTAGGTTGTTGTTGTTGTTGAAGTTGTTCTACAATATCTCCCTCAACTAATACTACTTGTGAGTCCTTATTATTATGCATTTGATTGATTGATTGGTGCTTGGTGATGACATCAATTGATCGAAGTTGTGAATGATTGAGTTAGGTTTAGAAATCAATCAGAATGACAGGGGTATCCTTTGAAAAGACACGCATCACTTATGCAGGAGTTTATTTGATCGACCAACAACACTAACGCACACACAACACGTCAAAGAGATAAAGAAATCTGAGATAGAGAGAGATATAAAGATGGAACCAGTATCAGATAATGCAGGACCAGATCATGTTGATGGAACTCAATATGATAACAACAATAACTATTATAACAATTTTGCAGACTACGAGAATGACAGCAACAACAACAACAACAGCAGACTCAGCAACATTTTGAACGCATTCAAAGACCTTGGATTGGACCTGATGCGCGTTGGTTCAAGATCGGACATGATGTATAGTCTGTTGAATCTCGACAAGTCTGCCACAAAGGAGGAGATCATTCACTCCTATCAGGTTCATGCTCAGGCCAACCGCGACAACCCCGAGGCACTCTACAACCTCAATGCCATCATGGAGATACTGACCAACGATCGTCTGCGCTATGAGTTGGACCAGGAGACGCCTGTGTCTGTGCTGCGCGGCGCATTGGCCACGGCCGGACAGTGGTCCAGCACGTTTATCCAACACTCACTACGCATTGCCTCGGTGCTCTGCCAGACCAGCACGGCCATCCTCTCGCCCAAGGCCCAGATGCAGCTCTGGGTGCAGCTGTGGCGTGAGAAGATTATGTTCCGTGACTACTTGAGAACATTTGGTGCCATCTGTGTCAGAGCATGGGTGATCGACACGTACCCAGTGAACAGCTCACTCATCGACACGATCAAGAGGAGCGCACTCGCCGCGTTGGTCTCTGCGCCACTCAACATGGTGCTGACTGCACGTATCAACCACCTTGGCCTTGGCTTCTTCTCTGCATTCAAGATGCTCGACTTCAAGACTCTGTTAACATCTTTGGCCGCACAGTTTGTGTTTGAGCTGGTGATCAGCGCGGTCAGCCCAGCCATGGAGGCCCTGCAAGACTACACATTCACGTTCAAGGATGCCAAGGGACCCAAGAAGTTGGTCTACTATCTTGGCCACCCAATCTGTGTGTCATTGCTCTATGCCGCTGCCGTCACACCGTTTGCTACACTTCTGCATCAACGCGAGATGCAGGCGTTTGTCCCGGCCGCACAACGACTTGGTCTGGTACAACTTGCCAAGAACAACTGGCAACAAGCTGGCGTTAGAGCATTCTATCGTGGAGCAGTCCCCTTGACAATGTTCGCCTTGATCCAGTGTACATATGCCAGCTCGCTAGTTCTTTCCTTCCAATGTCCATAAACTCATACTTTCATGATTGATCGATCGGTGTGCGAGTGTGTGGGACATGATCTTTCAAAAGTTCGAATCTTCAAGTTTCGCGAGATATGACTCATCATTCAAAACATTCATTTGTCTTCATTGTAATTGATTTGTGATACAGATAATATATATAACATATAAAGGAATGGAACCATTTATTAATCATGAACCTACAATAATCGATAATAATAATGCAGATGCAGATGATCAAGTACCATCACCAAGAGACTTGGTCAAGAAGTTGGCAACACTATTTGGTCGATCAAACTTGTACCTCTACGATATATTGGAGGTGAAGAGGAATGCCTCGAAAGATGAGATAATCAATTCATATCAGGCAAAGGCCATGCTCAATCATGACAAACCTGCAGTGCTCAAACAGTTGAACTCGGCAGTGAACGTGCTTACAAACGATCGTCGACGCTATGAGTACGACCAGGAGAAGCCGCTGACAATGTCCCGCGTCTTCCAGAGCACCGTGATCAACTTCTCAGCTCGTCTCGTTCAGTTCTCGCTGCACAACGCCGCCGTGTTCTGTCAGTCGACCGCGGCGCTCCTCTCGCCGCAGGCGCAGTTCAACCTGTGGCGCCAGCTGTGGAGCGATCGACACATGTTCCACAACTACTCAAAGAACATCGTCGTTTCAATCATCAAGTCAATGTTCACCGACCAGGCCAAGATGCAAGCGTCAACAGGCGTTCTGGAGGTGATCAAGAGGTGCGCGATCACCGCCCTCGTCATCGCCCCTTTCAATCTGGCGATGACTGCACGTCTGCACGACTATAGCCTGGGCGGATTCGGCCAGGTGTTCAAGCTTTTTAACGCCAGGGCGCTGTGGACTTCATTCGCGGCGCAGTTCCTCATGGAGATGACGACCAACGCATTGAGGCCCGTGGTCGAGGCCGTCAAGGACCACGCATTCACATACAAGGAGTCCAAGGGCATCAAGAAGTTGTTCTACTATTTGCTGTACAACCCAATTACCACATCACTGCTGTACGTGATGGCAATGGCACCGGTGGCTACATTATTGCATCAGAGTGAGATGCAGGCTTTCATTCCATTGGCTCAGCGACTCAACATTGTTCAACTGGCCAAGAACAACTGGCAACAGGGTGGTATCAATGCATTCTATCGTGGTATTGTTCCAATGTCAATCAGTGCACTCATCCAATTCCGTAACAACAATGTCCAGATTGGATCAATCACAGATGCCTAAGGATCATGTATCGATCATCATGATTGATTTATCATGTTGACATCAACTAATTAAATCAATAATTATTATTTAATCAAGATATATGTGTGCACTGATTGATCAAAATCTATGATCAAGATATATGAAAGTTTTGAATGACGATGAATGAATGATCTTTAATTTATCTTCTCTCTTTGTGTAGGAATGCCAAGGCAAGATAGGAAATGACAAAGAGTAAGAAGGTGTAGCCTGCAGCAATACCAAGCATTTCTTCGCGAGTGTAGTTCTCCAGACCATAGGCGGCAATCAGGTCATCACCATTGGGGAATGGACAGGGCAGGAACTCGATGCACTCCAGTTTCTTGCCCTGGAACTCATTGATGATCAGTGCCGTGAATGTATAGTACAGCGGGTTAACCCAGTGAATCCATCCGGTGGCCTTGGGCAGTTGTGAGGCGGGCACAAAGAAGCCAGAGAAAAGGATGAAGATTACAGAGAAGCCCGAGCCCAGGGTGAAGCTGTGATCGCTAGTGCCAGTGATGTTGGTGGCAGCAATCACACAAAAGTCCGACAGAAGATGCACCACATATAGTGTCAACAGGGCAAAGGGCATTGTCTCCCAACTTAGTCCTGCGATCGAGTAACATATACCTGGCAAGATAACCGACACCATGATCACGACCACATTCTCCATGGTAAGCAATGCCAAGAAGTATGGGAATGGGTGGTACAACTTTGATGCACGCTCCTGATTGAACAATGCCTTTCCAGACAAGACTACGATGTTTGTGTTGGGGGCGAAGGTTAGAGTTAGGGTTGGGGCGAAGGTCGGGTGAAGTAGACCTACATAGGGCAATGGAGGTGTAGGGCATGAGATTGAGTGAGACGATGAGGAAGAAGAGAAGTCCGAGGATCTTGGGTATGTCAAGTTGTGTGTAGCCTAGACCACCGAAACAAGAGCCTCCAAGGAGTCCAATGATGATACCCATAACAGTCCTCGCTGCACAGTTACCTGGATTCCTAACAAAGTCTCTGGCAACTCTTCCAAGTAGGATACGGTATTGATACAACCATGATGGAGTTGGCTGATTGATTGATTGATTGATCGGGGGTTAGTGATTGAGTGAGTGATGGTGTCATTGTGTTAACATACCCTAACAGTCAGGTTGTCAGGTGGAGGATGAGCGTTGGAGTTGGACTCTACCTCCCACATTTGTTTCCATCGATTGCAGATGTCTGGATAGCGTGTGCTCTCACCAATCTCCACGGCTGTGTCTAGACAAAAGTCGGCTGGATTCACGTGTGGTGGCATTGGATAACCTAGCTCGTTGAGATAGCCAACAATGTCACCGCCCGAGTATATCATGTGACCCTTGACCACGACCATGACCTTGGTGAACAACTTCCAGATCTCTTGGCGAGGCTGATGAATCGAGCACACCACCGTGACACCGCGGTCCGTCAGACGCATCAATGTCCTCATGACGATCAACGCGTTGACAGAGTCGAGACCCGAGGTGGGTTCGTCCAAGAATATGAGTGAAGGGTTGGTGACCAGTCCGCAACCAATGGACACGCGACGCTTCTCACCTCCCGATAGGCCACGAAGCATGATGCCTCCAGGCAGCAGACCGCCAATCTTGGACTTTGCGCGATGTGACAGTCCAATCTCGTCGAGGACCTGCTGGATCTTCCTGCGCTTATACTCGTCGTTCATGTGCGGCAGACGCAAGTCGGCGTGGAAGCGCAGCGTCTCCTCGACAGTTGCAGTCGGAAGCAAGATGTCCTCCTGTGTGACGTACGCGCAGTAGTTCTTGTAGGCCGCTCCAATCTCCTTGCCATTGACCAACAAGCTGCCAGTGATTGTGCCCGAGCTCTTGCGCTCGGCCAAGATATCGAGCAGGGTGGACTTGCCCGATCCGGACGGGCCCATCAGTCCCACCAGCTCGCCGCGCTCAATCACACCACTGACACCATGGAGAATGGTGATATCCTTGTCCTGATAGTTGATCTTCTGGCCATACTCATCGTCGCCACCATTCTCCTGCTGCTTCTTACTCTTCTTTATAGAGTATTGTTTGTTTGGCACCTTGTAGACTATGTTTCTAAACACCAACTGGACTCCCTCGGTATGGTCCAAAATTGGTATATTCTCGTCATGTTGTCCAATGTCCTCGCTTACATTAGACACACTTTGGTAATACATTGTTTAAGTTTGGTTTGGTTTGATTGGTTGAGAGTGAGTGTGTGATTGATTGATTGGAATAATTATATTCCAATCAGAGATTTTGATTGATTGGTGTGATTGAGTGATAGAGTGATTATGTACTTGGAGTGATAATTATTACTTTTTATATTATGAATGTGATTGATTTAATCAATTGTATGATTGATCAAAGGCCTCACACCACCTTCATCATCTTTAAAGTCGTTTAATCTTTATGTTGTAACCTTTAGTATTAGTGAGGAGTGCACTCCGAATGAGTCATTACCTTCATTGAGATGCCCCAAATATCTTTGGAAATCTCCCAAACTCCACATTCGGATCATAATGATCACATAATTTATTGTTGCAAAGATGACTTTGTGTGTTTTGGGGCGAGGCTCATCCGCCCTAAATGGCCCCTCACCATTACCGATCACCTTCCTATCGCCTTCAACCAAGTTCCCACATACCCAAGGAACAAGTATCCATTCATACATTATTATTGTTCATTCATTCGTGTTCATTTCAGTCATGGGTTCATTCATTTCCTTGTTGATGCACGTCTTGGTACAGTCTCTTCCTTCTCTTCGCGTGGCAAGTGTGTCTTTGTTGTCTTGTTATACAATCTCCTCAACTCATTCAAACTAAAGTATGATCGATTGATTGTTTGATTGATTGATCGGAGGAGTGGTGGAATGATTCCAGATAAGTATTATGAGTGTGTGAATGGTGATCGCATGCGATTGAATGAACTTACAACATATTCCTCTCAAACACATCCCTCATGGTGAACTGTTGGACGTCCTTGAGTTTGGTGTTGTCCTTGTTGTCTAGTGTGACAACTAGTTGATTACAGTTGATCTTGGATATTTGTAGACCTTTGAGCGCCGAGTAGGGTACCGACCACTTGACCTTGCCCATCGCCCACGAATGCTTGACGCTCAGACAGTAGAGACGCTCGGTCGACAGCAACATGCACTTGACTTGGCTCTTGCCCTTGCGACTGGACTTGTGCACGTAGAGGTGCAGCTGGTACACCTCGGGGGCAGGCAGTATGGCCGCTTCAAACTGCTTCTGGAACAGGTTGCGCACCAGGAATCGCATCGCGATCAACCAGTGGTCGCGGTCATCTTCGCTCTCGGCCATCAATATCTTCTCGGCCCATGGTGCGCCATTGTCGCCATTCGATGCTGATGAACCCGGAGAGCTGAAGCTGGCGCGACGCTTGAGCGTCTGGCGATGGTATCCGCTTCCGCCACTGCTCGAGTTGAGCGGCGAGTTTGGCGGTGACACCTCGGCGTCGTACTCGTTGCCTGCGCCATTGGCCGCTCCGCCATCGCGAATGTGGTAGACGATGCGGAGGACGCGTGGGTCGACCAAGTCGTCGCCCTCGACCGCCACCACGTCGATCAAGTCGATAGACCAGTTCTTCTTGTTTGTGTCTGGGTCGACCTTGTAGAAGCGCGCATTTGTGAGCAGACCGATGAACGACGAGCTGCCATTGTGGCGCTGGAAGTAGCTATGAGTGATGTAGCGCTCGCTCAGCGGGATCAGCTTGTCAAAGCGTATTGGCAACGGGAAGAACGACGTGTCTGTGTAGCGCTCCTCCGACTCGCTCCACTGATGGATCAATGGCAATGAACATGATGACACTGATGGCGTCATCGATGAGCTGGAGCTAGATCCACTTGTTGGCGATGAACTATATTGTGTTATTGTTTCCTTTTGTTGTTGTATTATTGCCGATTGTTGTTGTTTAACTTGTGTACTCATTTTTTAAACAATTATTTATTTCCAATCAATAATAATATTATTATTATTAATCCAATTTATCACTACCTGTATATATATATATATATTTGGTTCAGTATCTGTATCTGAAATCAATATGATCAATCTTAAGTAACTTGATCCAAATATACATTGAATTAATAGTACATGATTAAGCTCACTCAATCATACATCAGAAGGGTTGGTCACCACTGTGTGATCAGGTGATCACACAGATACACACAACCATTTAAAGTGGTGAGTGTCCAACACCACCATTCTAATTTAAGAGTGATCATATATGCATACATGTCATGACACTAGTATTGATCTTTCGTCGGATTTGAAGATATGTTGAACTACAACAATGACGAAAGATCCTTTGTGAAAAGGTAAACAATTAAATGGGAATTAGTTTGCCAAACAAGTTGCCTACCCACCACTTACTTGAACAGAGATAGAGAGAGAGAGATATAATGAATGATAGAAATAATATAGTAGTAATAGAGACTGATTCATTTATGTTTAGAACAAACAAGACTAATAATAATAATAAGGAGGAGATGGAGGAGCTTGATGATGGTGATGTATGGGATGACAGTTCATTGATCGCTGCATATGACGACGCCATAAATAACTATATAGTAATGTGTTCAACCGTTATATATATGAATGAATGATTGATTGATTGATTGATTGATCGATTGACTAACAGTGCTATACCTACTCTACATTCTCCCCAGGCATCACATAATCCAAGCAATGTACATAAGAAGAATCAGACTGATATTACAACAACAACTCCATCAATAACTACAACTACGACCACTACTGCCGCTAGTCCTACTACTACACAACAGAGAAAGAAGAAGGTCCGATCATTGGGAATATCTGTTGTTGATCAAGAAAATGAGATCATTGATGGGCATCACCAACAACAACAACAACAACAACAACAACAACAATACCCATCATCAATGAATAATGATACAATGTCAATGTACAATGGCGATACATCATCTGCATCCACCTCGTCCACGATGACAAAGAAGAAGAATAAGAAGAAATCATCAACCGCCAGCAGCACCAGTAACAAGCATCAAGTTGGTGATGGTGGAGATGGATCAAACTCAACCGATACATACTATGGTACAAATGATCAGAATCAATCATATCAATACGATCAAACACATTGGAATCAATACTCTGGTTATGCTCCCTATCAACATTATTACCAACATCATCCACATGCTGCTACCGCTCCAATGGCACCTCAACATCATCATCAACATAATCATCATCAACATCAATCATCATCGTCGCCATCACAATCACCATCACAACATCCACCTCATCCACATCATCAACCGCCAATGATGCAACATGGACATCAATTCCCACCGATGATGCCGCCAATGCTACCACTGCCCGAGCAAAACGACGAGTTGACCGACCTCCTTCTCAGTTGGTATTACAGCGGATACTATACAGGTGTATTCCAAGAGCGAAAGCGTATGCGTGAGCGTGGCTTCCATCCTTGATCCATCCACCATCCACAACTTCGAAGTTCATAAAGGTACAACACACGGATCATATTTTTATTTTATTCATTTATTTTCCTTTTTTTTTTTTGATCTCACACACCACGTTCGAGGGTTGGGATGTCGCCCACCTTGTTAGACACAAGAGCGACAAGACTGCGATATACTCAGTCCTTTTACCCGCGAGTGATAACAAAATGGTACATATATATAACATTATCATCCATCCATCCATCCATCCAATGTGCCCTGATAGAGATGCGATCATCAACACAACTTGCGATGATACAATGATTGGATTTGAATGAGACCATTCAGCGATACTACCCAAAGATCAAGGCACAGGATAGGATAGGATGTGAATGGCGAGAAAGACAACAGGCAACTAACAATCAACAATATATTATAGTCCTTAGTTGTTCCAGAAAACTTCCAGCACATCATCCGTATCTACAACACCAATGTGGACGGTAGACGCAAGATCATGTACGCCTTGACTGACGTCAAGGGTATTGGTCGCAGATTCTCCAACCTTGTTTGCAAGAAGGCTGACGTCGACATGAACAAGAGGTATGATCGCGATCAATGGGGTGTAACAGCAGCGACAATGACACGATAGTGATATCTAACATTCGTTCAAATCAATCAATCAATCAATCATTCGATCGTCAATATAATACAGAGCTGGAGAGATGTCCAAGGAGGAGATCGAGAGACTCACCACCATCTTGAACCACCCAAGACAATACAACATCCCATCCTGGTTCTTGAACAGACAGAGAGATATCAGAGACGGAAAGTTCTCCCAGGCTCTCGCCAATCAGCTGGACGTTAAATACAGAGACGACCTCGAGCGTTTGAAGAAGATCAGAGCTCACCGTGGTATCAGACATCACATGGGTCTCCGTGTCAGAGGTCAGAAGACCAAGACCACTGGCCGTCGTGGAAGAACCGTCGGTGTGTCCAAGAAGAAGGGAGGCTAAATTTATACGATCGTTGTTCGTTCGTTTGGCTCTCTGGCCCCCTATCCTTGGTGCCTGCTGCTGCTTGCTTGCTCCTTTGCCAGTCCATTGGCATATCAGTGGCATCATCAAATCAAACGACGACAACACCTTCAAACAATAAACCTATGTTACTCGCAGTCAATATCATCCTCACTGGGGTCATGCGCTCGTGGGTACTTCGTTGTTGTCTGTATGGCCTGGCACCCAATGATGATGACCATCGACGACGAACCTGTCTTTGGCAATTCATTGATCATCAATCCATACATCATCCCAATGCCCGACCAACCTCGATCAACCAATCAATGATGTTATTGTAATGGTATTGAATGAACAACGATGATTACGTAATCGTGCCAGACTCTGGGCCTTGGTGTTAGGCTGGGATGGAGGAGAAGAGCCTTATGAGGTCCATGGCAGTCACGTGATTGGGAGTGATACACCAAGAGATATTAAGCGCCCGATCATGATCAAGTATGGAAACTTGACCATACACAGGAATGGCTTTCAACGAACATTATCAAAACAGGATCATTTTTGGAAAGGTAGATGTCACGGTCTGTTTGATCAATTTTTGCGGGGTGGGGTTAGCAGTGTGACGAATGATTGGAGGGGCATTGGCTTTGAATCAAGGTCCAGGGTGATCGATCGCAGTGTCGTACAAACCACAACAAATTAATAAAAAATTAATAATAGTCTGAAGAGAGTGAGAAGGGTGGGCAGTAGGTCGGCAGCGTCATTTCCAGGTGATCAAAGTTTGGATCAACAACCACCTCACTACTGACATCTACACAATTAATCATTCAATTGCACCCTCAATCACCACTTACTCACCTACTCAATCAAATAACTATTTATATTTATATATATATCCATTATTTATTTATTTATAGAATCAATCAAAGAAACCCAAACAAGATGATCAAAGTAGAAGTCTTGATTGTGATCACAATTGCATTGTTGTATTGTGGTTTTGCGGTGGCCGCACCATCAACAGGTGGCCCAGCCAGTGGAGGAACGGGCGATGCGATGAACCCTTCGGCATCCAGCGGAGGATGGGCAAACTTTGGCTCGGCCTCCAACTGGGGCTCAAACACAGTACCCAACGAAAACACGGCGGCATCGGTCGTGGGCTCGTCCAGCACGCTCAACACCTACCTCGATGGCAACGCCTACCACCTCTACTCACTGACACTGGGCAACTACAATGGCGGCATAGGCGGCTACGTCCAGTTCGCCCTCGCCACCAAGCTCAACATCACCGAAAACTTTTTGAATGCCGGCAACAGCAAGTTCAGCTTTGACTCGCCGTCCGGCGCATCCTCGGCCTTGGTCGCGCCCGACTACGCCGACTACGCCAACAAGCTGAGGCTGTTGGGTGACATCCCCTACAACCAACTGACCGTTCATGGAAATATGAGTGTCAGGGGTGAGTTCAGGTACTCCCTGGCCGGCCTAGTCCAATCAGACAATGACATCCAATTTGAGGCTGGTGCAAACTTGAACGTCGTACCCAACAACCAATTCGACCCGTCCTTCCCAGTGTCCTACATGCTCACGCCTGGCAAAGTTAACATGGTCGACTCATTCTTCACACTCAGCATTTATGAGTTTAGAACTGTAAGTTCAATGATCAGTTTGTTGATGGTCTGCACTCTCTAACACAACAATCATTCATTTAATCAATCAATCGATCGATCGATCAATCAATCAAACTTTTAGTCAACAATGAGCCACAAGACAACAAACTCGGATCTTAATAAATCCAAGCTAACGGTCTTTGGTGATGTCGGACTTGATGTAAGTCATGCGCCAGGGTCACCAATCACTCAAATACGTGACTCACTAACATCCCCATCCTCCTCTTAGGCATCCAACTTCAATATTAAGGATTCTTCTGTGAACTTGGACGGCAAGTTCAACTTGTTGACCAACTCAAAGATGACCATTTCGGGAACCAACATAAATGGCTCAATGTCAGTCTCTGGCGTATGTACTTACTACACTCAACGTTATGATTGCCGACCATAGCTTGACCCTAACCTTCTACACACATCATTCAAGTTCTCCAATGTCACGATGACAAGCTCCAACACCAACTTTACCAACTTGTCACTCAACACTGGAAAGAACTTTATCAATGTAGACAACAGCACAGTCAAGATCGATGGCCAACTCCTTGTCAACGCACTCAAGACCACCACCAACTCTGACATGACCATCAGCAAATCTGGATCATTCGTAACTGTATGTTCATCATTCTGATCACTCTCTCGATCACTCACTTACTCACTACTCGATCGATCAATCAAACATAGGGTCAAAGAGCACACTTTGTATCAAGTCAGCTGAAGGTTGATGGCACTATGGATGTTACAGGAAAGGTCGACGCAGAGGGCTCACATGTATCCATTGGTAATAGTATGTCGTTGGCTGGCGGACAGGTCAACTTGATCAACTCCTCATTGGCGTTCAACAGTGGTTCCCAATTGGTATCCAACGGCACCATCAACATGGGCAGCTCACAACTCTCTTTCGGCACCGGCTCCAACCTCGCACCCAATGGAGGCTCCATCACCCTTGACAACTCGACCGTGTCGCTCAAGTCTGCCTCGACCCTATCACCAACTGGCGGCGCAATCCACCTCTTTGACTCGAAGATGTCTATGGAGTCCGACTCCAAGCTCGCACCAGCAGGCGGCTCGATCAACTTGAGCAACTCATCTCTGTCGCTGCAGAACGGCGCCAACCTCGCTCCCGCTGGAGGTTCGATCAACTTGAACAACTCATCAATGTCTCTGCAGTCTGGCTCCATCCTCGCGCCAGCCGGCGGCAAGATTGATCTCGTCGAGTCGTCGCTGTCTTTGGACGCCGGCTCCAAGCTGACCTCTCACGTGACCGCCACCATCACATTGACCAACACTCAGTTTGTAAACAGTGGCAGTTTCAGTGGATCGCTCACAGTCGACTCGGACAGCGCCATCAACAACAAGGGCAGCTTCGTATTCTCGGGCCCCATCGTGCCGCCTTCAAACAACTTGCTCTCTCGTCGCCACAAGCTGCACGACTCCGCGCCCGTGCATCCCACATTCACCAACGCTGGTACGGCCTCGATCAACGCAACCAACTTAATCAACATCGCCATGGAGATACTTAACGCCGGCACAATGAATGTTTTGTCGAATGCCACAGTGCCATCGTTCAGTCAGAGCAAGGGCTCGACCACGCTGGCTGGCGGCTCACTGAATTCCACAGGCGAGATTCTCATTGGTGGCGGTAGTCTCAATGGCGTTGGCACGCTGTCCAGCACAACGATCACCAAGGCCAACCTTGGCAGTGAGCAGATCAACACACTCAAGATCGATGGCAACCTGACCATTGGTGACAACACCACCCAGACCACGCTGAAGATCAACTCCAACACGACCTACTCCACAATCAACGTCACTGGAACCGTAACTCTCGATGGCAACCTCACCATCTTGGTGACCCAAGAGATCCTGGACGCGACCAAGGACGGCAACGTGACCATCAACGTGGTGTCATTCACTGACAACAACAACAGCAGCAAGTTCAAGGGCATCTCCATCAAGACGTTCAATCCAAACGGCGCCCACAAGGAGACTCCGTCGTGCCGTGTCTCGGCCTCCCAGTCCACCGGTGGAATCGCCGTGCTGGTCCAGCCCGAGGACTCGACTTGCAAGTCTAGCAACCCCGATCCCAGCGGCAGTGGCAGTGACGCGGGTCCACTCGCAAATGGTAGCAGCAGCAGCAGCTTCAGTGGCTGGAAGGTCATCACAGTGATTGTCGTCGGTTCGGTGATTGTCGCCGCCGGTGTGATCACAGCTTTTGTCATGCTGCGACCAAGAATCGCCAGACAGATCGCCTACCGTCGTGAGTCAAAGAGGAATAACGAGCATGAGCTCAAGATGAGAATATAACTTATTACCCTACCCACCTAACTTACACACATACTTGTAACACGTCAAACATCCTCCTCCTCCCCTTCACACCAATACTTAATGTATTGGATGATCAACATTATTAACGAATAAAGAATGTCTTTGAGAGACCTTGGAAGCTTTATGAATATGGGCTAATGTTCCGTCAAGAATGGCGATGGTTGTCGGCGTATGGGGAGCGTTCCATGTCGGGTCCAATGATCAGTGGCGACAAATCTCTCCCTCCACAAGGTACAAGGCCCAATCGAGATGGATAATAAATACTAATTTATATATTAATGTAGAACGATATATGTCATTTGCTCCTGAGTTGCATGTGGCGAAATGAAGCCAAAATGTTGTGGTGACTCCTGGCAAAGAATCAAGACAGCTTGAGTGTCCAGTTGTCTACAATGCATTGATAATGATCCAATTGGTCCGTAATCGTATTCAAAAATAACATTACGTGCTATATAAAGGTAGCTCCACAATTCGTGGGCCCTGAACGTGTCCAGAAAGTTGGTTGGAGATGGTAGAGACTTGATACGTCGATGTTGAATGGGGACCTTGCTGCTTTCCGGGTCGGGGATTTTCAATCTGACAGAGTAGACTTTTCTCAATAGATTGGATGGTGCAGCAGCCCCAATTGGACACAATGAGATCATGGACCTGATTGATATATTATTGATGGATGTGAAGTTGATTAAATCACCAAGGTGTTGATGGGGCGCACGTGTGGACTGGCAAATAGTAAGATCTTTGATTGATGATGGAACATTGCTTGGTGTCAATAGTTGATTAAATCCTTTTCCAAAAGTCAGCTTTGTTATGGAGGATGGAATAACTCCTGGTTCGAGTGGTTTGTTGAAGAACTCTCCGAATGATAGTTTGGTCACCGAAGAAGGAATAACATTGGGTGTGATATATAAATCGAATCTACCACCAAATGTAAGTTTGGTGACGGATTGCGGGATTAACCCAGCTGAAATCTGTTGATATTTGTTGAGCGATAAATCCAAGCGCTTCACATATGAGGGTATTGTAATCCAACCAAAAGTAGTGTCACGTTCGGGATAGCCAGAGTGAGACGGGTAACAGATGATGGAAGAAATACAGATGTCGGGATAATAGAATCGAACTGCAAATCTAAATCCAAGACAGAGTTAGGTATTGCTCCTTCGGGGAGTACACCTGTGGCGGACTTAAGGAATAAGGAGGTAACTGATGATGGGATACAGCCAGGTTGAACGTCACAGTCGAAGTCATATGGAAGTTCCAGTTTGATTAGGGACATGGGCAAGAGTCCATGTGGAATTGGGTGTTTGAATATAGAATAACGAAGTATCAACGATTGCAAAGAGGTTGGCATGCACCCAACTGGGAGTGGCTTGTTAAAGATTTCGCCAAATTCCAAATATGTAATGGATGAGGGGAGACTTCCAACAGCTAGAACTTGGCTGAATAAATCACCAAATGTCAACTCGGTTACAGACGAGGGAATGGATCCAGGAACAATTGGTTTGTTGAATTGGTGACCAAAAGTTAATGCAGTAATGGATGTTGGCAGAAGTCCAGGCGAAATGAATTGGTCAAATTTGTCACCAAATGATATTCGAGCTACAGATGAAGGAATAGAACCTGGTTGAATGGGCATGTTCCAAGTATTGCAAGGGTCAACTTTGTAACTGATTGTGGAATAACACCAGGCTCCAAAGTGAGGTTCTTGCACTCAAGTGTTAACATTGTGACAGAGTTTGGAATGTCTCCTGGTAAAAGAACTCTTGAGAATCCTGGGGAAAATTCCAACTTGGTGACGTATGGAGGAATACAAATTGATGTCGTGCGGGATTGTACATTGGATAGATAAGTCGGAGGTATAAAATAAAGTTTGTTCCTGTTCCGTTCTTTGTTTGGTGCTGATTGACTGTTTGTACACCGAACACTCCTATTCAACAGTTGGTAATTTCTTATTCCATTTGTTCGTGAACTCAAACTCGCCAGTGTGCCTTTGCAAACTAGGATCAAACAGAGTATATCAATGGCATCCAAAAAAGATGATACATGCTTCCAGAGTGAAGAATTCATGCTATTGAGTATGTTTGTGAAATATAATGAGTGTGATGAGTTGTACAGTTATCTATCTCCTCACTTCACAAAGGTGCTGCGTGTGTATATTGATTATATGATTGATTGAGTAATGATCAAAAAATGATCAATCTTTTGTCAAGTTTGTGTTCACTTGATGATTCGATCGACTTCTGAAAAAGCAGATATTTACAAACAATTTACACAAGTTTGTTATAACACTGTATGTTAGTCACACAGTGTGACGCGCTAGATTTTGTTGTTCATGGGATACTTGGGCGTGCAAAGGCATGCATGATTTATTGGTTGCCAGACGGCTGAGCAGAATGAGTAGCGGCAGTAGTGCTGTTCTCAATCCTGAGAGATTGGTCAGCGTATTGATTGTAACGTCCTTTTGAATAGATGGTTGGGGGCTTGTAAAGCTCGCCAATGAATAGTCCAAGACGGAACTCGTTGGTGACTAAATGTCCGGTGGCGGGCTGGTACAACTCAAAGTGTGAGAGGTCCAGCGTGTTGGTGACCATTGTCTTGAGATTGCTGATCATCGACATCTCATAATCCCAAGATGCTTCACGGTAATCACAGTGCATTCTTCTTAGATTGAGTGAGTCGATTGTTCGGCAGAGCATGGGCACCTTGATATACTGGGTGATGTTCAATGTCAGATGCTGTACACTGCAATTGACGTCGCTGAACAGGTATTGCATGAGTGGCAGATACTCTGGCGCGGGAGCATTTGGTCGTGGCAAGATATTGACAAAGTCGAAAGTGTGGAGTGTTGGATGTCGTCGCATGAACGATGTGAGTGAGTTGACGAAGGACTGCCCCTGCTCCTCGAGGATGTCGACGTGGTCATGTCCACATGATGGCGACAGGTTGAAGGTCAGTGACTCCAGGTGTTCGAGTTGGTCTAGGTGGGCAAAGAACTGGTCGTCTTGGCCGACAATGTACATGGCGTAGGCCGAGTCGGCACTGCCACACTGATCATAGATGGCCAGTGATGTAATGTTGGTGCAGCGACCAAACAACTCACGGGTCAACGATTCCATCCACTCTTCGTCCTCATACTTGAAGTAGTCTCGGTCGCAGCAGCGATTGGGATTCAGAACCCTGAGGTCCAGTGTCTTGATATGGTTGTTGTCCGGAAGCAGCTCAATCATTGTTTGGAATGGTTGTGGGAAGAGATTATTGATCACCAGTGTATCGATTGATTGTGGATCCAGTTCATACTGGTCAATCAGTCGGGCCACCTGTCCAGCAAAAACAGTCCTGATGGCCACCGTGATCGTGCTTTGTGGTCGAGCCGTGAATGATTTGAGCAGAGTCCTAATTGTGTCCTTCTTATGATCGATTGATTGTGATGGGTATGATGGTGGTTTGATTGTTGGTTGTTTGGACTCATCACCATCACCATCACCATTGTATCCACGATAGTAATTATAATCATCACCATCATCACCATCGTCGCAATCATTATAATTACAACTATTGGGTCTGTCATCATTATGATCAACACCTTGTAAGGTGATTGATTGGATGTGTTGTGTATGATGTAGAGAGTACTTGGTGTCCAGATGGAATGTCACATCGAATATCGAGTCAATCATTGCAATGTCATCATAGTCCACTCCTCTGATATTTAGATCATCATCATGATCACATTTAGACTGTGCACCAACTTTGATCACCAAATGATTGTTCAATGATCTTATCATCGAGTGGAATCCCCAGCTGACCAATGACAATGATCTCCACCACTTCCTACTCACTCCTTCTTCATCATCTCTTAACAATCTAACAATTGATCCAATTATCAAGTTATTTAATATTATATTATTATTATTATTATTATTATCTTCTTGTGTCTCCATTATTGATTGATTGATTGTTATTAGTTCATTGAATGAGCAGGTGTCGGTTTGAATCACTTGATCATTTTTGTAAGTTTGACAAAGTCAAAATTTGAAGTTCATCATGAAGGACCTCACACACTATTTTTTATTGTTTTGTCATCAGGTGATCATCACACTTTTGCATTCATGTCATGTGTGTTTATGTGTTTGAGTGTAAGAGAGTGAGCTGTCAAATGAATGGAGTTGAAGTCAACCCCCTCTTTGAACTCTTGCATGAATGAATGGTTGTGATGCCTGCAGGCAGGATGTGCATTGACCTCAAGGGCAATAATAATAGTCGACACAAACTTCAACAATAATAATTGTACATATAATATATATATATATATATATAATTAATATGTATGTGTTACTTTAAATTCATCATTCATTCAATCAATCATTCAGAACAATGACACTAACATCAATATTATCAATCAATCAATCAACCAATCAAACAAACTGAATGGATGAATGAACTCATGATATGAATATATAGAGATAATATATAATTAAGGATGGGATTCAGATTCTTGGATATTGTGAAGCCATTCTCTCACCTCATTCCAGAGGTGGCTCAACCAGATAGAAAGGTATAACTCATTCAATCAATCAATCGATCAATCAATCAACCTTGTACCATCTCAACTCACACATCACCATACTTATATATGTTTAGATTCCATTCCGTGAGAAGGTTCTATGGACGGCAATGTGTCTGTTTGTGTACTTGGTGTGCAGTCAGGTGCCACTGTACGGTATTAGATCGAATGATTCCTCTGATCCATTCTACTGGATGAAGGTTATCATGGCCTCGAACAGAGGCACTCTTATGGAGTTGGGTATTGGACCCATCGTCACATCGGGCATGGTCATTCAATTGTTGGCTGGTGCCAAGCTCATCGAAGTCGACCAGTCCGTCAAGGAGGATCGTGATCTCTTCTCTGCCGCTCAGAAGTGTAAGTGATTGATTGCAATTCAATCATTCAATCAATCATTCATTCAATCAATCAATCTAACTCACTCACTCAATCATTCAAACAACTTATAGTGTTCGGTATGTTGATCTGTATTGGACAAGGAACAGCTTACATTTGGTCTGGAACGTACGGTGACCCCGCCACTTTGGGCTTTGGTAACGCTTTGCTCATTATTCTGCAGTTGTTCTTTGCCGGCATTATTGTTATGTTGCTGGACGAGTTGCTCCAGAAGGGCTACGGCATTGGATCAGGTATCTCATTGTTCATCGCCACCAACATCTGTGAGAGCATCATTTGGAAGACATTCTCGCCAACCACCATCAACACTGGCCGTGGCACCGAGTTTGAGGGCGCCATCATTGCCCTCTTCCACCTGCTGTTGACCCGTACCGACAAGGTCCGCGCCCTGAAGGAGGCCTTCTACAGACAGAACCTGCCCAACGTCACCAACTTGATGGCCACCATCTTTATCTTCTTGGTCGTCATCTACTTCCAGGGATTCCGTGTCGACCTCCCAGTCAAGAGCTCCCGCGTCCGTGGCCAGTCTGGCTCATACCCAATCAAGCTGTTCTACACCTCGAACATCCCAATCATCCTGCAGTCGGCCTTGGTCAGCAACCTCTACTTTGTGTCGCAGCTGTTGTACCGCCGTTTCCCCGAGAACATCCTGATCAACTTGATTGGCTCGTGGAGAATGACCGACTATGGTGGAATGATCCCAACCGGAGGTATCACCTACTACATCTCGCCCCCACACAACATGTCTGCGGTCGTGGCCGACCCCATGCACGCACTGTGCTACATCGTCTTCATGCTGACCTCCTGTGCTCTGTTCTCCAAGGTCTGGATCGAGGTCAGTGGCTCATCAGCCCGTGACGTTGCCAAGCAGCTGCGCGACCAACAAATGACCATCAAGGGTTACCGTGACTCCATGTTGGTCAAGGAGCTCAACCGTTACATCCCCACCGCCGCCGCCTTTGGAGGTCTTTGCATTGGTGCCTTGACCGTCATTGCCGACTTTATGGGTGCCATCGGATCCGGTACCGGTATCCTCTTGGCCGTCACCATCATCTACCAATACTTTGAGACATTCGTCAAGGAGCAACAGGACTTTGGTGGACTGGCTGGTTTGTTCTAGACTCCCCCCTTGAACTGATCCACTCCATGAGTATAATACTATTATAATAATAAATAACAAACTAATAATAATAATAATTAATTAATAATAATCAATCAAACTATCAAGTATGTGTGTGTAGGTGCGGACCATTCTACCCAACAACCGTCGACTGGAATAATTCCAGCCTAATTGATCACACACACTTCCTGATCACTTATTCAATGAATGAACACTTATATTCATTTTGAATACTCTTATGTCTCTTCGTTTGTTCTAGAATTTAATCGAGAAGGAATAAAATGATTGGACACTTCCTTGACATCAACTTTGGCAAGAGCTACATATTATATGAGATATTTGTAATACTTCATAGTATCATTTGGAATAGACATGTCGACAAACTCATTCAAGTCTTGGGTGGTCCTAGATGATTAGGTGTTATCAGAACGATGTTCCATTGACCTCTCAGCCTTTTCATCACTTTTGACTTTGTGTAGTTTGTAGCTCTGGCTTGAAAAATGATCGGCCAAGATGGAAGGGTGTTCGATTGAACAATGGACCTGGAAATCACTATTTAAGGCATTTTCAAAACTATCAATAAATAAACTAATACCAAAATAATATCTATATTCAACTATCCAATCAAATATTCAATTAATTAATCAATCTATCATTCAAATATTTAAATATGATCTCATCAACTACTGCATCAACTCAATTAAATGAAGGCAAGCCATACTTATTTTATGGACATGGTGCCACCAATGCCTTGAAGATCAAGATCATGTTTGAGGAGTTGGGTCTCGACTACAAGTTTGTTGATGTTGATATCTTTAATGACGCCAGCGAGTCAAAGGTCTCTTTCAAGAAGATATTCCCAAATGGAAAAGTTCCAGCCATTGTGGACTACACTGTCAGCCCACCTTTGCACATCTTTGAGTCGGGTGCCATCCTCCTGTACCTTGCTGCCAAGCATGGCAGGTTCCTCCCAGATATCAAGTCCCATCCAGCTCAGCATGCCGATGTGTTGCAATGGCTCGCTTGGCAGATCTCTGGCTTGGGTCCAATGAACGGACAGTTCACCTACTTTGCAGTTTTTGCTCCAGAGGCCGTTCCCGCTGCTCAAGAACGCTACTACAAGGAGACCGACAGGTTGTACTCAGTGTTGGATCAACAATTGAAGGACAAGGAGTGGATTGCTGGAGGACAGTACTCGATCGCTGATATGGCCGTCTATCCATGGGCAGTGTATATCCGTGAGGGATTGCTTCCACATTCTGAGAAGTATCCAAATGTCTTGGCTTGGTTGGATCGCATGAACAAGAGACCTGTTGTTGCCAAAGAACTTCCAGGTATCTTGGCTCCATTGCCAGGTTACATTGCCCATCTCAAGAGCAAAGGAACTTATCGTATCACTCAATAATTGATTGAGTGATTATATCCATAATGTTTTTGGATATCATTATTTTGGACATTTATTAATATACATTTTTAAAATTGTTCAATCAAATAAATATTTTAATAATAATTATATCAATATACAATTGAGTAAACTCTAGTAATGTTGATTCCTAGTCTACTTGGATATAAACTTCTACTTGTCTAACTCTTACCCAACCTTCTCAACATTTACATGTGTATTGGTGATTTTTGAAAAAACGAGAGATTTATGAGTTGATTGTTTTGTCGACTTGATGATGCAGTGTTAGAGATAGAGATAGATATAAATATACAAAGATAGAGAAGAATGATATACCATCAACTTGCAAATAGAAAGTTGGGACGACTCAGCTCACACAGAATGCTCATGCTGAGGACGATGGTCACCCAACTCGTCAAGCATGAGCGCATGAAGACCACACTCCCCAAGGCAAAGGAGCTGACACGATTCGCAGACAAGCTCATCACGATAGCCAAGAGAAACACGCGCGTCGCACACAAGTTGGCCTACGCCATCGTCACCGATCGACAGGTGCTGCCTAAGCTGTTCAGAATGCTGCGTCTGCGCTATCAGGACAGAGCAGGTGGATATACACGCGTGCTCAAGTGCGGCTACCGTCCATCGGACAAGGCACCAATGGCGTACATCGAGTACGTCGAGAACGATTTGAAGCCACTGCGCGATCACAAGGCCAACAATGCCAAGCATGGCATTGTACGCGAGAGCGTGCCCGAGGGCATGAAGTTCTCCTTTGTCGAGAAGGCCACTGGACGTGTCCTCTCATCTGCAGTCTCACTCAACAATCGACTAAAGCGTGCAGAGCTCTTCAAACTGGATCATGATCAAGCTGACAAGAGTCAACTTGTAAACGAATTGAAGCAACAAGTTAACAGCGGCAAGAAGTAACATTAAATAACTATATATAATCAATCAATCAATCATTCATTCAACCATTCAGATCAATCAATCAATCAAACAAACAAATCATTCAATGGGGAGACTGACCCAAACAGAGAAAGCAGCGAACGAATGAGTGAACGAGTGATGAGCGTCATGTCAAGACTTTGTGATCATCGCTGAACAAAGACAGGTATGGATGGATTGATGATTATCAAGATGCTCGTGCCGTGTCGTCGTGTTGATCTACATTACACAAGTCACTCACTTCCAAATTTCCATTATGTGTGTATTGCATTGGACACCCAATGTCTGGATGCATTCATGTCTAAATTGAGTAGTATGTGTGTATGTATGTATCAATGATACATCTTGTTTTGTGGATAATGGGTTGAATTACAAGTTCGTATGACGCAACCCCCTATCAACAACAAGTCATGCATGTCAAGGACAACTTGAGTCAGATTAATGCTCAGTGAGGTAACTTCCTCATTTATCCATGTCAATTACCAAGAAGAACCTGGTTCTCCTTCTTCAACATTATTTATTGTTATCATTCAATAAGATATCTTTATTATTATTAATATATAATTTTATTGACAATATTTGATTAGAAAGATATTTAATACATATATATATTATGGATGATAATAAAAGAAAGAAAGGAATAGCTATTGCTACAGAGGATTCCAACAAAAAACAGAGGTTGGATAAAGATATTGATAAAGTTGGAGTTATACATTTGAAGGAGATGTTTAAACAACCTTTGATTCCATTGACATTAAATCAACAACTACAACAACAACAACAAAGACAATTACAAACACCAAATGATGGGAGTGCAATGTTGATCAAATTGATACATACTAAAGCGATAAGTATCAAAACAAGGGATCAATCAATATATTGTGCTCAAAGAGATGATAACCTATCTAAAGTATTCAAAGGTTTAACTGAGAGACGATTCTACTCAGTGCCAGTATTCCTTCAGGGTAAAGGTATGCCTATTCTTTATTAATATGTTATATCTAGGACTAGGATTGATATCTTATTAATATTTAAATCTAAATATAGATAAGAAGAGATGGATATCATTCATAGACTTGTTTGATATTGTAAAATATGTAAATCATCACTTTGGAGCGGAGAAGATGTCCCCAGAACAAGACTTTTGGAAGTTGGTTCAAGAGTCGGAACAATTCCAACAACTTAAAGTCAATGATATAATGGCTTTCCCATCCAAGGAGAACAAATTCCATCCTATTACAAGTGAATTCTCTTTATTCTCTGTATTGGAGATTATGGCCAGGGATTGCCATGCTCATCATATTCCCATTCTTGACAATATGAGGAGTCGTCACTTAGTATCAATGCTCACACAATCACAATTAATTAGATTCATCTACGAGAATATAAGTCTACTTGGTACAAAGAAGGACTTGATGATCAAGAATATGAAGGGATTGCCAGACACCAGCCATGTGGTCACCATTCAGTCGACAGCGATGGCCATCGATGCATTCAAGTTGATGGAGGAGAAGAATATCACTGGACTGGCAGTAGTGAATGAGAGTGGAAATCTGATCGACACATTGTCCACCAAGGATCTCCAGGGTATGGCGACCGATGGCTCTCTGTTCTGGAAGCTGTATCGACCTGTAAAGCAATTCCTGGACTATATCAAGAATGATCCAAAGACAGTGAGACCTCATCATTGTGTTCATGTACTTAGAGATGAGACATTCGAAACTGCACTCACCAAGATACATACCAACCAAGTGCATCGTATCTTTGTTGTGGATTCCAACGATTCTCGACGTCCAATTGGAGTGATTAGTATGGGAGACCTACTTCTCCAACTGCTTCTTTGAGATTTGACAGTCAAGTTAGTCATTCATTCAGTCAGTCCGTCAGCTCTGAATTGTGTTATTAGTAGATAACAAATTATATAAAAATCATTATTTAACTTCGTTTCCCCACTTTTTGGAGTCATTCGTCTTTTGGCGCGCTATCTCACATGAACTTATACAAGTTCAAACAGATATTTATATACCTAAGTGAAGTTGCAATATGAATGATATCAACAATAATGTTAAGGGAAAATCCAATGGAAGGGATAAGTCAACTGTGATGATTCAACAATGGTTAGCAGATGCCTTGATATCAAAGTGTTGCCCTGATGTACCAATGGGACAGATCATCACTGTATGTTATATTGAATGAATGAATGTATGAATGAACTAATAACATTTATTACATTACAAGTTAAAATCACATAATAAGAGTATCGTAGACAATAACAATAATCGTAATAATAAGAATATTACAACAACAAGTGATTTATATCTCTCTGATACAAAGTCATACATCAAGATGTGTATCGAACCTTCAGCAACTGACAATAGTCTAAAAGAGTATGTATCGTAAGATTGAGTGATTGAGTGAGTGATTGAGTGACGAGTCAACTAACTTGAGCAATCAATCACAATCAAGTCGTGGAACAAACAATTATAATACATTGATTGGATCATATATTGAATTGAATAAGTATCAGTTTAAGTCGGTACAAACGATTGGTGGTGATACAGAGTATACAATCATTGTGGAGAAGTTCACAGTGTTCAATAAGGACAAGTTTCATATCAATGACTTGCGACCAATATCAATGATAATCGATATTAAGAGGAAGAATAGTAATGCCAAGACCACGGCATCAATTGCTTCGCATCAGTTTGGCACAGTGCCAGCTGGAAACACTGCATCAACATCGACATCGACATTGTCTGTTGTGAAGGGTCCAGCATCAGGATTGAGGATAAGCAGCAACACAATCAAGAATGATCCATTCTACTCATTCGATCCAAAGAATGCCATTGCATCAAGGAGTGATCTGGCCACATTGGACAACCTTAGTATGTACCTGCCTGCCTGCTTGCTGGATCGATTCCTCCATGCACTTGCATTGATCCACTGATTGACTAACATCGCGCACACAATATTTAGCCAGACCATTCATGAAGATAGGTACTTCGCATCCCCTAAGGCTACCAATGCCAAAACAAACTAAAGCGACAACATTGGTGGCCACCTCTCTTTCTCCCATTCCTCATGCTACTACTTCTGGTGCATCATCAAAGGCGACCACTACCACTACCACGACCACGACCACAACATCGTCCACGACATCTTCCACAGACTTTGATTTCGCAATGCCATCACCTTCATTGGACGATGATGACTACAGTGTAAGTTAACTTTATTGATGGATGTTCAATTGGCATGCCTAACACCATACTACACTTTGTCAGGTATTTGATGAGTCCTTCCATTTGTCACCCTCTGGTGTCACTGCTGTGGATGAAGTGGAGGCTGAGAGCAGTACACTCAAAAGGAAGTTGTCAGACTTTAGCAGCTTAAACATCAAGTTCAACACTCAAGCACAGTCTTCAAGCTCACTCGAGAGTCTGGCATTATCTGGACAAGCACTACCAGAGAGAGACATCAAGAAGATCAAGACCAATCATCATCATAACGACAAGGACTTGTTGTCAAGCATCACCCATAACAACAACAACAACAACGTCATCAAAGACTGCTCATTCCATCACCTACCTATTGAGTATCTTTGTATGAAGTGTAACTTGCCCGTGTGCAAGATGTGTACGCAGTCATCAACACACGATCACCACAGTGTCAGTGCCTCAAAAGACATTGTGAGGATCACTGTAACAAGTAACGACTCTGTTCAACAAGAGGCATCAGTCATGCTCAGCAGCTTTGGACCCGTCTGCTCACTCCAATACCGTGGTGGAACACTCAATCTCACATGGAAGAAGAATGATCCATTCGAATGATCGATCATTCATTCATCATTTATTTGGATGATGGCGACTCACCGCCATCTTCCTTCTTGCCGCTCCCGCCGCCACCTCCAAACACCATTCTTTCAATGTTCATGAATGGTCGCTCAATGGTCAGATGGAGGACAAACGCAGCAGCGAACGACATTACCAGGTTGGCAACGAATGTCCAGGTGAACTCGATTGGAGAGTAGTGTGCGTACGTCGTCAATGAGTACGAGTGTACCCACATCACAATAGGATGAACCAGATAGGTGGAGTAGGTGAGCTTGGACAGGTAGCGGAACAATGGATGCTCAAGGAACAGTGCCACCACACCGCCATGGCCGTAGAACGTTGCCATCATGAATATGGTCACACCCAGCGGCAACATGGTATGCGCAAAGCCGTTGAACAATGAGTTCTCGGTGTTGTTCCATCCATTCTCACTGTGGAAGCTGGTATAGGGGATGTAGGCAAAGAAGAAGGTGATGACCAGCGATGCGACGTAGGCCACAGCACGGAAACATGGCATGTCATACAGCTCCTTTGTCTTTGGCTCGCGATACAAGAAGGCCACGGCGACACCCACAACATAGGCGCCCATTCTGAACCACGGGCGTTGGTACAGGTCCTGGCCAAATCCATCTGGACTGGCGGCGAACTCAAAGAATGTTGGTATCTCGTACTTGGCCGCCACCCAAATGTTGGACGTGAAGCATGCGGCCAGGATGGCACATACGAGGGCCCAGCCAGCGCATCGCCTCCAGTAGAATACCACCAATACAATGGGCACCAGCAGGTAGAACTGCATGTCGTTGGCCAAGTACCAGCCCCAGCCCGTGCACTCATCGGCTAACTTGACCGGATACATGTTGTTGATGTACAACAGGTTGGTCCACCAGTACTGGTCGCACGTCTTCACTGTGTCCCTGTAGAGGAACCACAGGGGACCACTGCCAAGCAGTGGCGACACCTGCCAGAAGAAGAACACAATGAAGTAGTAGAGTGGCGACAGACGGATAAAGCGGTGCACAACGTACATCAGCCAGAACAGCGGGCCGGTCTTGCCCTGTCTCTTGTCCATCTGGGTCAGCACGGTGTAGGCCACGAGGAAGCCGCTCAGCATGAAGAACACGTCGACAGAGAACTCGCCCGCCATGAACACTTGGAAGGCAAACGAGCGTCTGGCCACTCCAAACACGTAGCTCACGTTGTCTAGGCCCGGTCCCATCAGGAAGACCAACGAGTGTCCGAGCACGACCCAACACGTCGACAAGGTCCTTATGCCATCTAGTGAGTCCAAGTATCTCTTGGTGGATCGTCCATTTGTGAACGACTTATAATTGGACACCAATGAGAATGCCAACAACGCATGGAGTATAGGCGATCTCTTGACTGGCACTGGGCCGGCCCGTTGCTCTGACTCTTCAATTGGCGTGGTCTGTTGAACAACATCATTCTTGTGCGATCTGGTACGCATCATGGTCATTATGGCAACCTCGAGCGCAGTACCAACGGCCACCAAGAGCGAAAAGAACAGACACACTCCAACCATGATTCCGGCTCCAGCAGTCCACTCCTTGACAGTGACATGATCATAGTCGGCATAACAATGGCTCACTGAATCGTTGCCAGGCTTCACGAGTACGGCACCCACTTGGGACAGTTGTTGGATGGCCATGCTAATGTCTGTGGTCGTGTTGCAACTTGGTGGTAGACAAAGGCCCAACGTGTAGGACATGCTTCCGGCAACAGGAATATCCATCTCAGACTGGTACACACAGTAGTGAGACGTGTTTGATGGTAATCCCAGACAACCATCAATGTTTCCAAGATCATCCATTCCTCTTCCACTATAAGTAAGCACTTTAATAATATTAATAATAAATAATTAATTAAATAATGTTTGTGATTTTACTTACTTTGGATACCAACAGCAATGTTTGACATCATATTCATTATATCAGTCATACATTGACTTTGAATATTAATGGAACTACTTCCATCATCCATCTCCATACATAAGATCAAATTATTATTAATAAATGATAATAATATTATTATTAAAAATATATTAGTAGTTATTGCCATGATATATATATCTTTTTTTTAATAACTATTTGAATAAAAAATAAGTTAAAAGAATAATTATTTATAACAAAGAATCCTGTAAACTCAAGTCATAATATTTTATTATTTAATCAATCAATCAATAATTGGATATTACCCAGGGCATATAACAATGATAAAAGGCGACACAGTGTTCCTTCAGGTTAGATCATTTGACAGTTATACGTAGTAGGAGGTGTTGATCATGATAATGATTGGTAATCAACTTTCATTCATTCATTACATATGTATTTAATTGAACCTGCTCTTAATTGTGGTTACATATATTCAATGCTTATTATGATCTAGCAGTGTTATATTTATAAATTGACCAATAGTCAATGATCTACTTCTATGTTTGATTGTGATATGTTTGATTTGATTTGATTGGACTCGACTTGAGAAGTATTACCCAAATTGTCCATTCCCAAGTTTCAAAGTGTTCCCCAACAACCCCAACCAATTTCGTTTGACAACATCCGATCTCAGATGACACCCCTTTCAACATCCATGGTTAACTACATGATGTAAAAGTTGTACCATTGTTCGTCTCATCTAAGATGGATTGTTGTCATGATCAAACCAAGGGAAACTAATAATCAATTATCTCTTAATGACAGCCAGCAGCAAGATGAAGATAAATAAATTTATTGTTGTCGTGTAATTTGTTTAGTAGCTTTCGCTTTTATATTTATATATATATCGATTGTTTGGCAGATTGGATGTCGTCCAGGGAATGAGCACCAAATGGAACGGATGTGCAGTTACCAAAATGATGATATTATCGTCAAGCATTCTTGAATTGATGACGTAGCTGAATTGGTTAATAGTCAAAGTGGATGGACATTGTGTCGAGGCGGCCCATGCATAAGTTGATGCATGATGGACACTACAGTTTCCACTCAATCAACCTGTAATAGCGTAGTCGACTACAGTAGTCGCGGCCCCCTTCTGTCGTGGTAGTTGTTGTCAATCACTAGGGAGGTTATGGCAGTTGTCGAGACAGATCAATGAGATGGGATGAACATCTGCAATCAATGAAGTCGCTTGGACAAGTTGCTGTTGCTGTCATCACACGCTGATGGATTCATGTTTGTCCCTTTCCCCGCACACAAGGTCATGCCTCTGAATACTCTCTAGATAAGGTTAAAGCTCTACAACAAGGTAAGTTAGAAATTGTGATTGGTTGAATGAATGATCTCCACCATTATATTCACCAACTTGGATTTTTTTTTAATTCATTTAATAATTCTATCACTTCTTATTTGATCACACATTCATTCATTCATTCATTCATTCATTCATTCATTCATACAAACATTAATACATATATACATCAATTCATTAACCATTCAATTATTAATAATTATTCATTCATTCTCAAACACAGAGATCGTGAACAAGTACAATATCAAAGAACAGACTGATGGGACGTATGTACAACTCACCAACTTGGTGCGTCTCATGCTCAAGGAGGAGCGAGCGAATCTAGACAAGACTAAGAAGCCTGTGGTCAAGGTCACTGTTGGAAATGCAGCGACCCCACCAGGCCAGAGAGCATACAAGGCAGAGAAGATCTTTCTGAAGATCAGTATTGATGGATGCACACTTTCAAACAATCAAAAGTTGGTCATTATTACTATGACTAAGACCACGATGAAAACGGCTTCAATACAGTCACCATACCGTAGCCAGCATCACCATTCACAACACAACAAGTACAGTCACTTCAACAGGGCCTCAATTACCATGTCAACTCAATCAATCTCAGTCAGTAATGTCTACAACGTTGCCAACAGCTCACAAATACGCCAGTTCATCAACAGCAACGACATCTGCTACAACAAGCACTGCCAACGTTGTTAACATCCACGGTAGCAGGCAACAAGTACATCAACAACAGTCACGCTGATGGATTCTTGTTTGTCCCTCTCATACTAATTAATATGAGAGATGGAGAGGATGACAGGTGTGTTGGTTACCACACACCACAAATAATAATTGCAGGGTAATTGATCAATAATGGTTCATGCACACCTCATCATCCTACCATACACACACCACACATCATTGAGGACGGATGATCGATCGACAGGTATGAAACACTACCACCAACGCTTGGAGAACATGAACTGAGCTGAGATGTCTTCATTGTCACTGCTATCTAATGATAAACCAATGATGTCTCATCATCCACGTGGTGATGTTGATGAGCTTGATCATTGAATGATAACTTGTTTAAACTCTGTATCTGTTTAATGAGACTTTAGGAGCAGAAACATTTAAGTTGATGTGACAATCTTCGACTGGTGCTTCATAACTTCATTACACAGACTTTATAACTCATACAAATGATTTTCAAGTGACTCTTGCAATAAAAGGGCTACACTTACCCTGTATATACATTGTCAACAACATCAAATAACCAACCAAATTACCATTTATAAAAAAAATATATAATAATAGTTCAAGGAGATTGAACAAGGCAAATCAAGGTTTTATGTAGGGCAAGGGTAGGTTTAAGTGTTCTCTTAGGGACCTGGTGGTGGTTGAAAATCAAAGGCAAAATTTCCGTGTTCGCACAATGATTGGAAGGCAGCCAACACAAATTTGTATATTTCTTCCAAGCGTTCTTTTTGATTAGGCTCTAAGTGCATGTTCTTGTCTGGATGCAATAACAATGAGTACTGACGGAACCTCTTTTTTAGGTCTTGCACTTCACTGGCTGTTTCTCGGTCGAAGCTTGATAAGGAAAAGACTTTCAGTGTGCTGTAGTCTCGGAAGTCAATCATATTGCCGATCCTATTGATTATTTCATCCTTATCTGTGGTGATTGATTAAATTAGATGTCAACCGGTTTGGAGAGCAATTATACATGAGTACTTACCAGTAATGGACATGGGACGTTCCTCGGGTACGATAGGATCTTCAATATTGTCACTCCTCACTGAGTCAAGATCAATGGGTTTTGCCCTACTGCCGCTACTATCCTTCTCTGGTGATCCCGGGACATGTTGTTGCTGTTGTTGTTGTTGTTGTTCTTCGTCGTTGTCGTCATCGACATATTCCGGTTCGTCGTCTGTGTCATCACTTCCCATGGGGTCATCTGTTTCACTCTCCATCATTGAGTCTTGATCAATAGGCGATTGTGGTGGGGTATCGAACAAACTATCACAACTCCCTTCCTTTGACGATGGGGCAGGTTGTTGTTGAACAGGTGGTTGTTCTTGTTGTTGTTGTTGCGAGGGCTCGGCATGTTGACCCGTTGTTGGTTGTGTTGATCGACATTTGCAAGTATTGCAAAGCTTGATGAACTTTCGAGCCCTTTTATTGATTTCTGAGCAATATAAGTGTGTGGGTATGTATACCAAAGAGAATGTCGATCACTGAATGGAAACATACTTTTGATGGTGTATATTCTAGATATTGATGTGATGGTGGCCTTGATACCTCGATGGGCATCCTGTTCAATGTGATGTGTTCTGATGATTTCACAGACTTCATCTTCTCTTGGAACAATGGTCCGCCCGGGCTATTATTTTCACCTAGAATGGATGATCATGTGTTGAATCTCCAAGCCTCATCTCCACTTGTGCACCCAGTTTGCACCAAACACCATCTCAACGATTGTTCTGTGTGCACCACATCCTATCATTGGAGGATCAACGGACGTCTTGTATTCACATATGTCAACTCAACACCAACGTCAAGACAATCGGAGGACACTGTTGGTCCTATATTTCAATGGATGCAGGTGGCAATCGTTGATGCTGTTGGTACTCTGGTTGGTCCATTGTAGAAGGACTTGGTTGTTGTTGTTGCACTGCAGCATGGTTGTTGTTGTTGTTGTTGATCGTGGTTGTTGAGGTAGTATAGGTTGATGTAGTTGATGTTGTTGATGTTGTTGAGGTTGATGTTGCTGAGGTTGTTCACTCAATTGATCATCGAGATCGTAGTCAGGTATGAATATATGTCTTTGTTGCTGTACTGGAGCGCTGGTGAATGGTCGTTGCTCTTGTTGCAAGCGCTGGTGTTCGTCATTCTCAGAGAGGGTGTCACCATGGGTGTCACCATGGGCGTCATTGTGGTCAGGGGAGAATGAGTTACCTCCTCCATATAATCCATCATCGTCGTAGTCTGTTGACTGAGGGGCTGTCGTGGTCTAATGCGTTGTGTCTTGTGGTGAGTGGTGTGGCCTGTCTGGTTGTGGAGGTAGTAGGACTGGAGAGGCAGGTCTTGCATGTCCTGTAATCATAAGTATCTTCTGATAGGCATCAACAACATCGATTGTTGTCTCCTGCCTCAGAGCATAGTTGCGAATGGCTTGCTCCCCATGGTATTGAAAGGATTGACATATACACGACATCTTCTCTTTGCGTATGCTTATGCTGTAGGTACTGGCTGTGTTGGCAGTGCTTGATATTGTAGTTGCTACAACTGATCGATGGTTTGTCAAAGATGGAGCAGAGAGGCAGTAGTCTTGGATGACAGTGGCGGACCTGGTGAATGCTAGGTCGTAGCGCTGCTCAAGGTCAATGGGTAGTGTTGTAACTGCTCCCGCCTCCAGACGGTCTTCTGAAGGAGGAGGTTGATCTCCATCATCCCCAGCCATGGCTTGAAGGTTGATGCCGTTTGAGGCCATTGGTGGCATATAGCTTGATAGACTTGTTAATCTTGTGGCAACCTAGTTGGCGCATATTAATGTTAATTATTTGATTGATTGTTTGTTTGTTTGTTTGATTGATTGTTTGTGAGTGTAGTTGTCATGAGCAACAACAACATACCTTCAAGACTAAAGTTTAAAGAACATCTCTAAGTTTCCAAACTTATGAAGGTATAGCCCAAAGTGGAACGTGAACACATGCACATAGGTGATGGCGCTTGAAGGTCCATAGAGAGTAGTGAGATTCTTCAGCCAGACCTTTGACATGCTCATCCAATATGCCTCAGTAATCTTGCGACTCTTCATGTTGAAGGCGATGTTCAACAGAGAATACAGTTGGCTCCAGACTGTACGCATGGCAGCTATCCTAAGGCCTTGTCCAAACGTTGATGGGCTCCTCAAAGTTTATCCTAGAGTCCCTGAAGAGATCGATGGGCTGGAGTTTTCCTTCTTCATCAACGTGATCCTCATTTACTTGAAGGTGTTTGTGATGTCAATGTCCAGTGAATCCAAAGAGAGGGCAAGGTCGATCATTCAGCTCCTGTGTAGTTGGACCAACGACATATGAACGTGCAACAAGTCTGGAATGAATGAACAAACACTTAGCAACTTGATTACTGGATGATGCTATAACCATGATGAGTGGACGTGTGGTTAGTAAATTAATGATAGAGTGGGAGATAATGACATACCTTGTGCCACAAGCCGGGCTTGTGACAAGCCCTGGCTGGCTTCTTCTCATTTGGTACCACTTCTTGCAGATTGCGAAGTGGGTGTCTCTCTTCCGTACATTGGTGGATGTTGTCCTTGGTAACCTTGCACCAAGGGCATCTATAGCGTGATTGACTCATCCATACAGAATATAATCCAAGAGCTCGATGAGTAGGGCCATGTCTGCAAATACAACTGCAGTATGGCTCTATACGATACTCTCTGCAGCTAATGTTATGCGCGTCAAATAGGATGACATGTTAGTTATAATTCCCGCCAAGCACAACAAACAACTATTACATACACGCTAGGCTTCTTTGCATCGGTTGCAGTGGACATGTTTCTTGAGAACTATCATAATGTGTACGAACCATTACTGACTTCTTTCCAGAAGTAAAGACCTTGTGGACGCAATGCTACACCTTGCTTGGCATGTGTGTCAAACGCAAGAGTTCTAACCTTGTTAATCAATAATAGGCTCGCATCGAATTAACAAATCTATTAGGAATAACAGTACAAACAGTGTTAGAATATCCAAGCAGATCCTTGAGAGGGCATCGAGACTATATGCTTACACCAGTGACTACAGTAACATCCGTCGAGGAGACCTCCAACGTGATCAACACCTTGGATACCTTGACCGTGTTGACTTTAACCAGACCACTGTCAACAGCTGGAAGCAAGATGGCGTTGACTATGTACAAGTGGACGCGCGTATCTGTCTTCAAGAAGTGTTTCCAGAAGTGTAAATGTGAAGATGGAGATCTGGACGCCATCTTTGTTCCAATCGACCGACATCCAGTCATATTTGTGAACGGCGCTGAACGATCCAAGTTAGCATATCAATCAAGATTCAAACCCAGATCTGAACGTTCAAGATCCTCCAACAATAGTTCCTTGCCTGTCACTGTTGCTCCTGTTGATCTTGAGGATTGATAGTGGCACATGGTGGGCAGGTACCATCACATCGGTACTTTATGACCTATCCAAGACGAGTATCTATATACAATGTCACCTTCAAACAGGGCAACGAGCCAGTGCAGGCCACATCTGCTGAGCACATATGCCGTGTCAAACCATACGACGACAAGAAGGACAACAAAGGTGCAAGAGCGCTGATATATACACATGGGACAGAGTGATGCAAGGTACTACCTTGGCACTCTGACCAATACTGTCCGATGTGGTACAGAGAGGAAGCCGATGATGTGTTGGGATGCTGAGTTGGATGCACTGGGTCGAGATGTTCGATTGAAAGAGTTGGAGGACGAGCACGATCAACTGGAGAGAGTGGGTGGTGAACAAACAGTTGGATGAGTTGGAGTCACGCATCAAGAAGGTCGCAAAGAAACAAGACTATCGAGTAGAGAGGATAGACCGTGGCAAAATGCCGAGCCGATCAAGCAGGATATGATTCGTTATCTGTATGAGTTGTTCTTGATCATTCTATGTCTTTACATCTATCTGATTTGTTGATGTGATTCGTTGTCTGTCTGATCATGTAATTAAGAATGATTATATGTGTGTATCTGTATAGTTGTGAGAACCTTGCTCATTAGTGAACTTAGTTAACTGTCACAAACTCATTCAATTAAGTCCCACTCCACACACACTACCTCTCACAATTACGTCTTCCGCACACAACAAACATCGGATAACTGCTGTGTGAAGGACAATTACTATGGGGACATCTCCATACGTTCAGTTCGAAGTGTGTTGTGGCTGTTGTCGAGACAGATGTCAATGAGATGGGATGAACATCGGCAATCGGTGAAGTCGATTGGGTTGCAGTTGCTGCCTTTGTCACTGTTGTTGATTCACTTGTTTCCTCAGAGGATGTTGTGGGATATTTCATGTGGAACAATTGGCATGTAAAATGTACCCACATTTAAATATGCGAGAATAATTTAAGTTTAATTAAAACCAACACATTTAAGAACGAAAAAGGCTGTGGGAACAATTAATATGTAAAATTAATCCCGCACATTTCTTCAACCATCACTGCTTCTTATACTTCTATTTGTTTACATCGATCTAATTATCTATCAATGACTACTACAACCACTGCACCAATGACATCCGATTGGATGGATGTCCCTCCAACGTACTCCACTCTAGACAGTGCTGTCAAGCAGCGCATGGACTTCAAATACCACAGAGATAGCGTCGCTGGGCGAGATGGGTATAGGATGATCGCCAGCAAGCGCAAAGCGAACGAAGGTTCTGTCAAATGTGGCATCAAAAGGGTGAAGAAGCTGGTCGCCCTCCACGGCCCACTCAACATCTGCACATTTGCTGGTTGTGGAACGTTGACCAAGTGTTGGGACTTCTGCAGCAAACATCTACGTCAGTGCCACTCACTCGAAGTAAAGACGAGCAACATCCCCCATGCTGGACTCGGTCTCTTTGCCATACACTATTGCGATATTCCTCGACCCGCAAATAACTATGTCGGTGGCCTATACGAGAAGCCCTTGAAGAGTCCAGTGTTTGAGAAAAATGCAGACATCATCATGTACACTGGCCGCAATCTGACAATTCAAGAACACAGAGCAATGAAAGACAAGTTGAGACTGGTTGGCAAGGAGCCTGAGTACACATTGAAGATACCAGAGGCCAAAGATAGTCTCAGGATGTACGTCGATGCAAGTGACATGTTGCTATCATCAGTGGCTAGGTTCATCAACTACCCGACACCAGGTCCACGTGGGGGTGCAGGCCAGCCAGTCGCCAACGTCCAATTCATGTCAACAGGCATGGTCCGAGCACTTAACAATATTTATGAAGGTGATGAGCTCATTGTTGACTATGGTGAAAAGTACGTAGTGTCGCCATCATCACTACCACCACCATCATCCCCACGAGCGATCGAAGAATTCCTGGGTGTGCCCAGGATACATATTGTCGATACTGATACTGTAGACATGGAGAAAGAGGATATGTTGATGTACGAATCGACAACATCGACCACGACCACATGCACATCGAGTGATAGTGACCAGCGGAGGACAGGAGAATCAGAATCAATCTTTCGTCCAAAATTACTCAACACCATCTGCCTCAGCGCTGATACAAGATCCAGCAGCGCAATTATGAAGTCAGATGAGGTTCCCGTGTACCTGGCAGAGCTTAGGGGTGTCACTGGCACTGGTGGAGATTCAGGATATATTGGCACCACTGTTATGGCTCACTGCATCCAAGCATTTATGTATCATTGTTATACACTGCCAGCTCATATCACTATAACCGAGCAAAACAAGTCTCAACTTCCCATCATCATCCACGACCCAACAACATGCCAACGTCCAAGCACACAGAGTGCCACGGTATCATACGGTGTGGAATATGAAGTACACATCGTACCTATCAATCATAATGAATTGAGGCATTGGTCAGTTCTTCTCGTTTTATCAAGGTTGAATAGACCGCAGTCATGTCTTCACTTGGACACTCTTGCAAGCAACATTCCCACATCCATATCCAAGTACATGCGCTTGGACGAACTTGACGTCTTGAGCTCCAATAAGTTGCATCATTGGCCAACCAAGAACAATGGATTGAACTGCGGCCCAGCTACTCTGTACACAATCGAGTTGCTCTTATGTATCATCCAACAACATTGGTCTACATTCAACACTCATAATCAACCTATCCTACAAATCTTTCAACACATGGACGATCATCCTGGATACACGCCTGCTAATGAGGACTTCACTACTGAGGATTCAATCAGTCTCAACTGTGCGAACAGGATGCAGTGGCTAATGGGTCTACTGCGTACATACACAGCTAGGAATGCGAGCTCTATAGATCAACAGGACTGCAACCACAACCAGATTATGTTCATTGAAGGCGCATACAGAAAGAGGATGCTAATGTTCATGTTCAACGTCTTAGTGGAACTGCCACCACTGTACCGACGCGCATGTAACCGCATGCGTCCAATCAACCCTTCGAACCCACCCGCTGATGTGATCTTGGTCGACTCTCACTCAGATTCACATTTCTATTTCTGCGGTAATCAACAACCTCCATCCAGTACACAAGTGTCGCAGGTAAATAGAAAGATATCGCCACCAAAATTGGTAGAGGATTTTGTTGATGTGGATTTGGATGGGGAGAGTGCCACAACACCGGACACGAAGGAATTCTTACATACTCATGATGCGCCAATCTGCGACGACCATATACCTTCATCAATGGCTCATTCTATTCTCGCTCATTCATCGGCGACTCGTCCCCACATCACAGAGTCAATGTCTATCCAAATTCCCGTTCCCTCATCCACAGCTACTGCACACGTCCTCTCGTCCACGACTCCTTCCCCCACTCCCGATCCAAAAGAGCCATCCCTCTCATCCACCAAAGATATGCCACCACTAGGAGCACCAACAGCAACACCAGAACCAAAGTTGTCTTATGGACCAGGGGTAGTGGAATATAATCAAGGACTACCATTCTATATTGAACACCTCCACATTGACAATGTTATCGATCCGAACTATGGTCTTGCCAATCCTCATTCATTAGAGGCGATCTTGTGTGCTAAAACAGGCGGCAATGACGGTTCTGGTTGGCTTGACCAGGATGTCATGGCACACTTTGCACAGAGTTTTCTCCACGACATATTCTCACGGTGGGTCAATACCAAGTCATACTGTGAATCTCCTTCGACCTTCCCGGTTCGCATACACAACCCACATACGTTGGCAATGCTCAGAGATTATCCAGACTCAGTGGTCAGCTATGGAAAAGAGGTTGAGATTCACCTCCTACCCATCGAACAAGACAGTCATTGGTCACTTCTCCTGGTGGTATCATCTCACAAACTGGCACAGGCATACATTCACATGGACACAAWGGRCACAAAGGGCACAAAGAACATGCAACTACCCCAAGACGTCTACAAATATATGGGCATTGATGACTCGCAAGTCAAAGGATATCCACTCTCATATTGGCCAGTCCATAACAACTTATACAACTGTGGTCCTGCAACGCTATACTCAATGGAACTGGTGCTTTGGATTATACAACATTACCTGACATCATCATCATCATCAGCCGATGACATCCCACGTGTCCAGCTGCCCAAGAATGCTGGAATCTACATGGACATCGATCTTGACGCAGACATTGCATCTCAAAGAGACCACTATGGCCAGGTAACTGAGAGTCTTGTGAATATTTTGCAGGTCTACAGGATGAAGAAAAACAACCGTGATTTCTCAAAACAAGCCGATAATGATGTCAACCCTGTGCTATTCTTCGAGCGACACTACAGAAAGAAGATGATTATGTACTTTGCAGGTCAGGACCTCTCACCACTTTATGACCCGTCTGGGGRATCTTGGGCCGAAGAGCACTGGACCATTTAGCAAGCCTAAGAGTATTGATCAGATCTACAATTTCTATGAGTCTCTACCAATACCAGAGGCATCCTTAAAGAGAAAGAAACCGGATACAACTATCAATAATGGTGGAGAAGTTATTGATATTGATAGAGAGGAGAGTGCCAAGGTTTTACGCACTTTGGTTACTAGGAGGAAAAAATAAATATACAACTACAACAACTACACACTCAACGTGCTGAGCTGAGCAAGAATGCTGATGTGCTGACTGTATACGCGCAGGGAGTCTGGCGAGGAATATTATATAGATAGTATTCAATTTATTTAAGTTTAGAAGACGGATATCCATCCCCTTTATAATTATTAGTTCAACATTGCCACTCAATGAAACCTGAGAGGGTCTTTGATTCTGTATTGGACAGTTACTTGGCTTCATTCCTCGACAAATATTAAACTACTACTGGAGGCATCTATGACTCAGAATGATAACTTCAAAGAAGAAAAAGTCGATGGGCTGCACTGACATCATGATGTCAGCGTGAGATACATCGACAAAGAAGAAGGAGAATCGCGATTCTTCTCATCGCCAGAGAAGTCACTAATCGTGGTCGTATGAATGGAGTTGAGGCAATGGCAATACTCCTCATAGTTGACGATGATCCAGTCCGCTCTTGGAACCTAAAGAATCACTTGGTAAGTTAGACTAATAAATATAGTTAATGTAAGTATTAACAACTGTGAACCATATCACAACTATGAACGTCATGGTTGGATAGTAATCCATTGGTTAAACTATTAATAACGTAAATAAATTTTAAATGATCGATTGATGGATTGATGGAGGACTTTACCAAATCAATAGGAATTATTCCAAATTTTGATTGACCGGATGTAGAGCAGCGATCTACTGATTGATTGATTGGATAGAGATATTCCAGGGTTGATTGATTGAGTGATTGGGATTGTCTAGGAATGATTTATTTCGAATCAATGTTTCTCCTGAGGGTAGTGATAGAGCCAGTGGTGAATGTGGCATTAATCAGGTCCTCCTTCATTGAACCTCTGTTCTTGGTGTCCTGTCCGGCACTGAATGATTCCTCCAAAAAGGTAGACGCGCCAGGAATAGATAGGAAGTCCTTCGCCATGCGGGCCAAGACCGGATATGTTGTCTCGTGATCACGCCACCAAAGAAGGATGTCATCTATCTCTCTCGATTCCTCCTTTTGATAGATTGCCAATTCATTGACAGCGGTCTGTAAGATTGATTGATAGATTGAGTTAGTGATCGATTGTCCATTATTGAGTGGTTGAACGGTTGAGGTTAAGTGAACATACAGGTTTGGCCTTCTTCATTACTGCCGACCATAATTGTGTTGGTTTCTTCTGGTTGACATCATGAGACTCTGTGGGGTTGCGGATCTCCCGACGAGGATCTGTGGTTTGGTAGTGGTTGTATTCCTTTTCGAAGGCATCCATGGCTGCTTGGTAGTACTTTCCATTGTCTAATCAATCCAAAGTGTGTATATATATATATATATTAGTATTGAGTCTCGTAATGTATACCACTGCAGTGTACTCGAGCGCAGCGTGAGTGATTGTGATAATAACATACCAAATGTCTTAAAGAATCGAGCGTTGTACGAGGGGTTCAACACAGTGCTGCAATAGTACTTGTGTGATTGGACGTCTGATCTACCATAGTACTCCTACATATGATAGCATTGTTAGTATCACGGCACATGTATATGATCGATCACATGTCGACATTCTTGATAAGAGAGCGGTACTTACTTTGAGCTTGTCACGTCCCAATTTGCAGAGCTTGCCGATGACACCTTTGTTCTTCGATTCATGTTCAAGATGGGAGAACATGTACTCGTAATGAGGGTAGGTCGTGGAGATGTTGTTGGAGGCCTCTTGAACCTGAAGGGTCACGAATCTGAATGGCTCAAGTAGACGAATGAGCGAGTCCACCATCCTCCATTCTGTTGCATCCAACTGGAACTCAGAGTATTCACGCTGTTTCCAGATATTCACAAGTGTCTGCTTGATGGCAACAGCTCTTTCCAATATCAAATAATCACCATCCCATCTGGTCGGTGCTCTGACTTTGGGCAATTTGATGATGTCATCCTCGTCTTTTAAGATGAAGTCACTGTATATAGTATGTTTGTTATGATGTCAGTATGCATTCAAACATTGTAATACAATATTGTACTGATGGAATGGTGATAATGGGTGAGCAGTACATACTTGTAATATTTCTCTCTCCTCTGAGGACTCAATCTAATAGTGACAGCGAGTTTGTGAAGCTTCTCAATGATATTGATCTCGTCGTGTTCAGACAGACAATGAAGCATGGCCTTCACCACAAGGGCAGCAACGTGAGCCAAGCAAGAGATGTGGGTGCCCAGTGAGTTGTAGTGATGGGTCGATGGGTCCAGGTTATCAGCAAGACACTGGGCGAATCTGGTGTTGTTACTTGCATTGTCAGACACAGTACAATGCAAGAGAGGTAGGAGGTCGAACTTCTTCATTGTGCTGAGAAATATCTCAGACATATGTAAGTACCTACATGTGAGTAACACACAAGTTAGATTGATTGAGCGGAATGGTTTCAATTGATTGTTTGATTGATGACGATGATGAGTGGGTGGGTGTGTAATAAATGATGACTTGAACATACCTGTGTGATCATTGGACTTTGACATTGTAAGAAGCACTGCTCTCTGCTTGAACTGTGGATCAATCCAATGTGCAGAGATACCGAGGAAGGAGATTTGGTTGGGAGATGTACATGAATCCAAACAACATGATACCTTTGATGTCAGTCGTCTGAAGTAGCAAGCCATCCACTCCACCTGTTCATTGAAGAGGTCCAAGATTCTCCTCTTCACTGTGTCCCGTTAAAGATCTTAGAAGTTGGGCAGAGCGAGGCGACAAGTGATCTAAACTCTTGTCTCTCAACCTCTAAAAAAGGTTGAGGAGAACACAACACCCAATTGATGAGTGCAATCCTGTAAACATAAGAGTTAGTAATTGTGAATGACAGTTGCATCACAATCGCAGCAATATATGTGTCATAACTTACTCGAAGATTGATTGGCTGAACACCCAACAAGATAAGCGTCGTTGGTTCTCTTGTTGTTGGACCTTGACCCATTCCCAATCAATGCCACACAGGGTATGGCATTCAGACCCTAAAAGGTTGAAAGTGAGGTATGAATGTTAGCGATTGCTCGAAACCATATTAACTATTGGGATGAGTGGATACTCACCGGCTGTTTCTAAATGCCGCCACCCATTTGTCGATTCTATAATTACCGCAGTATCGGCACTTGGCAAACCGTCATCATGTTTGGTGAAGTGATTCCAGATCTGTTGGCCACTTCCATACTTCTCATCAGAACGCAACCTCTTCTTGGAATCAAAATGATCGTTGGCTGATGTGGCAAGGCTGGACGAATAATAAACAGGGGTTGTAGTTGTAGTACTTGTTGTTGTTGTTGAAGATGTTTGAGAATGAAGTTGTTGGATGACATTTTTTTTGTTCAAGATGATGATATTGCAATTTGTTTTGATTTAATTTTTTTGAAAAGAGTGTAGATTGGAGTGGGGTAGATATTTACAAGATTGATTGGAGYGTGTTGGATCAAAGATATT